ATATTTTATTTACTTATTTACATATTTATTAAGATGTTTCTATCCTGCCTCAAATCAAGATTTCCAGACAGCAAGCTCTGTTTTTCATTATTTTAGGAAAGCTCTCTCAAGAAGCACATGTAATTTTGACTACTAATTTGAGAGTAGAGAGAGCCAGTGTGGTATAGTGGTTTGAGTGCTGGACTCCAACTCTGGAGAACAGGGTTGAAATTCCTGCTCAGCCATGGAAACCCACTGAGTCAGCCTGGGCAAGTCATACTCTTTCAGTCTCAGAGGATGGCAAAGACAAATCCCTCTTTGAACAAATTTTGCTGAGAATCCTGTGATGGGGTTGCCTTAGGGTTGCCATAACTCGGAAATGACTTAAAAGCACACAACAACAACAAACAAATTGAAAGTGCTCCTCTTGAAGAGCTGAACCTACATCATGGGACTACACCATGCTGGTAATTGGGCTTAGTAAAGCCAGCATGGTGTAGTAGTTTGAGTGTTAGACGGACTCTGGGACACCAGGATTCAAATATCCACTTGACCAGGGAAACCCACTTGGGCAAGTCACACTCTCTCAGTCCTGGGTTAAGACAACAGAGAATCTTCTCTGAACAAACCTTACCAAGAAAAACCCATTACAGGTTCACTTTAGGGCCATTATATTTTGGAAACAACCTAAAAGCACACAACCACAACTACTGAGGTTAATCTTAATTGTTAAGCAGCTATTTGCTAATTCTTTTAAATGTGGACTTATGTAACTGTATGTGTGTCAGAATGTTCATTAACTGATTATCTTTGTCATTATGAGCTTCCACAGAAGCCTTGAGGGGAAAAACTACAACTCATATATAAATGGCAGACAGCTGGAGAGATAAGGAAACTTCACCTGTACAGTTATAGATTATATGTGACCATAGACAAAGCAAGATTGCAAACAGCTTTGCATGCTGAAAACAATGGGGAAATTGCTTGTTTTGCTTCTGTTAAATTATACCAAAGGGCCGTGAAGTTACTTTTTCACTATCTTATAAACTTCTTGAAAGAACTCTTGGCCCTTTAACACTGACCACCAGCCCTCTTCACCTGTCTCCAAGTTACAGGATTTGTAGGTTAAAAATGTGTAAGTAAAAATTCCAAGTGGTAGGTGCTGCTCTGGGCCTAAATCTGGTCTAAGTTTTGAAGCTAAGCAGAGTCAGCTCTAGTTAGTACTGGGATGGGAAATCACCAACTGCTGTAGGCAACTACCCCTGAATATGCTTTGCCTAAGAAAACCCTATGAAATTCATGGGATTGCTATAAGTCAACAGGTGATTTGTAGGCACACACACACACAGAGAGATTCTGCTCTATTTAGACTACACTTAGATCACAATTCCTTGAGAGCAGGAATTGCTCTGAACATCTCCTTCCTCTTATTCTGAAAATTGGTTGAACTCCAATATGAGCTCACTCCTGCCCACTGTAAAATCAACCAAAATCTGTCTCCAAACACAGCCTTCCATTGTTCTGTTGTCTAAAAAGAGACTCAGCCCACCAATAAAACTCTTACTCTCCTTTTACCCTTTAGGGATAGCACATCACTGAATGTAGTATGCAGATATGGGATCCTCCCAACTAGCACTGGAATAGTGATTAAAAAATAGAGGTTTTTTAAATAGATGGCCATTGCTGGGGATGCTTTGATTGTGTATTTCTGCATGGCAGGGGGCTGGACTAGATGGTCCTTGTGGTCTCTTCCATCTCTAGGATTCTATGAGTCTATATCAGGGGTAGGCAACCTTTCCCCTTTAAGGTCCGAGGGACTTCAGCTCCCAGAAGCCTCAGCCAAGTTGGCCAATAGTCCCATGTTGGCCAATAGCTCCTGGGATTCTGGGAGCTGAAGTCCCTCGGCCCTTAAAGGGGAAATGTTGCTTTCCCCTGGTCTATATCATCTGTTGAACCCTCCCCTCTCATGTAAATACACTGAGTGATAAAAAAAAGCTTTCAAGTTGTATTATTTTTTTTTAGTGACACACTTACACCTAAGAATCCAGAGAAGGAGAAAATCAATTCAGCAGAGTTTTCATACTTCATTGCCATTCTTGAATGTGTTCCTTACTTCACGTTCCCAGATATATTTTTTAAAAAAGTACCACTTCTTTGTAAGATTGTTTTCACTTCAGATTGAAAGCTAAGGTTCATTTAGGTGGCTGAGCAGTTATTGTTAAATCTCAGTGCAGTTGAAACACTGCAATCAAGAATAAACCTGATTTCAGTGGAGTTTACTCCTGTGACCAATCGTGTTTACTCCTGGGTAACTATCCCATGGATTGGGTACTGTTCAATGTAGTGCTACATGTTGGGATTATTTGTCCCTCTGTGCCTGTGTCTCTGTTTCTCTGTCTTTGCCTGATCCCCATATGAAAAATAAAAGATACTTAAATAGATGCATGTGTATATGTATAGTCCATGTGCGTAACTATTTACAAACACACACTCTCTATATTCACATGTATATGTGCATATGCTATACACACCCACATGAGCACAAAGTCATCATGAGCTTCTGCACTTCAAAATGTACCACTCAGCTGCTGAAGATAAGCTCTCAAAACCTTCTCTCTTTTATTCACATGCCCTGCGTGCTGCCTACTTTCTGACCTTGTATTCCTACACAGGGTCTACAAAGTTCTACTTTTAGCTTTCAGAACAGAACAGAAGAACTGAGTTGTGAAAATATATTTTCTCTGTTGATTTTTCCAAATCTAAGGAAGCTGGAGATGTAACAGTGGTGCCACTATGGGGTTATCCAGACATCATTTTTTAAAGCACAACAATGCAAATAACCTCACTCATGCATTACAGCTTTGTTGTTCACACTATGGAACCACATCTATGCACATTTCTGCGAGTTCTGTTGCCCATATGTGCCAGCACTCAAATAAAGATGGAGTCAATGATGTGAATGTATTTGAAGCATGTGCAAGGCATACAGAGTTTTATCCTGGTTCATCCTGGGTCTATTCACATCAATTATTCACACAGCTGACAATGTGAATCTTTTAGAAAAACCCAGAAAAATACCGAAGATCGATTATCCCAGGTTAAGTGGGTTTTTGGCAGCCCCCTAACTTAATCTGTGCCTCCTGCCCCTGCCGATGCAGATCACTTCCTCTCACAAGGCACTAATAGGTAAGAGAAAGAAGTGAATTTTAAAAAAACGTTTCCCCTATGTCAGTCTATGGTAAAAATTCAGGACCCTGGATAGTTATCATGGAAACTGAATTGAGATTCTGCTTGAGCAGGCTTTTTAACCTCTGATTTATAGAATAGACCAGGGGTAGGCAACCTTTTTCAGGTGGGGGCCAGTTCACAGAACAGCTCCCTCCCTTGCATGCACAAATGCGTTGCAGCCGCCATTTTGGAAAACAAAATGGCGGGTGCAACGCGCGCAGCCATGTGGCGGCCAAAACTCGCGGTGGCAGGGGTCGGCGGGGGCCGGTAAGTGCAGGGGCCCGGGCTGGAACCGGCTCGCAGGCCATAGGTTGCCGACCCCTGGAATAGAGTCTTCAAGGTAGAATTGCCATTTTTCCTGGAAAACCTGGAAAATCCCAGATTGAAAGAACTAAAAAAAAGTCCTGGCTGGGCCAGTTGAAGCAGTAAATCCTGGATTTCTCCTTCATCACAGGTGCATGGCCAGGTTAAAATGTGGCAGTGGTGATGAAGAAAGAAATTGCAAGAAGACTTGCACTGGAGGGAGACTCATCCTGCCCTGGAGGATCTGGCTGCTACTGCAGAGGTGTAGCATTGCCACTTTATTCTTCCATTCCCTCCCCACTTCCCTCAACAGATCCAAAAGGTGGGAAAGGAAAGGAGGGGAGCCGAGATAACCTTGTGCTGTGTGGGGATTGTGTCAGAAGCTTGAGCCCAGGAGTAGGTAGCACACTGGAACTTCACTTCCAAACAGCCTCTGACAAACAGCTGCTTGGAAGCCTCCTTCTCTTCACACCAGCTATGGGGAAGAAGAACAAAAAGAGAGCTCTTAGCTTGGTACTGGTACTGAGGTTGAAACATAATGGTAGAAAAAGTGCAATGATTAATGTGTTGAATTTGCATAATTAGAATGCAAATTAATTATATGCATAATTATAATTATTTGCATAATATGCAAGTTAGATGCCTGCATATGAGGGACTGGACTATGGCAACCCTACTCCAAACTAATAAAAATCAACTGAGCAAATCTAAGAGTCATTGTGAATGCAGCTCTTATCCTTTCTCCCTTCCCAGAACTTCTTTAGCATAATTACGGAGACAATAGCAGAGTGTTAAACAGAAGGCAGTTGTGAGAAAGTAAATACTGTACCTCAATGTTGCAAATGCTTCCCAGCTGGCTGTCTTCCCAGAGGTTAGTTTTGCAGACACTAACCTACAGACTAAAGTGCAACATTTGTTGCCTGCTCAAATATAAAAACCCATTGGATGGCTCACACTCTCAGTCCCAGAAGATCGCAATGGCAAACCCCCTCTGAAGAAACTTGCCAAGAAAACCTATGACCTTAGAGTCACCAGGGTCTCTGTGGCAGGTGCAGACAGGCGCTGGCAATCCTTGCAGACTGCCAGAAATAGTGCAAATTGAGTCCACTTTAAGGGTTAGTGCTAGGGAATCATGGGAATTTTTTTCTGAGACATTGAGCCTTCTCTGTCAGAGAGTTCTAGTGCCACAATAAAATACAGTTCCCATGATTCCCTAACCCTAACCCTAACCCTAACCCTAACCCTTAAAGTGGACTCAGTTTGCACTATTTCTGGCAGTCTGCAACCCCTCTTTGTCTGCACTTGAAATTGGGCCCAGAAACATACTGGCAAACTGTGCTGCTGTTATAAAACTGCAGAGCTTGGAAAAGTTAGAGAAAGGGATTGGACTGAATCACCTGAAATGTCCATGTTGGGCGGGAGATTCTGGGATATGTAGCTCAAACAGGTCACTTTCTAAGAATTGCAAAGTTGTACTGTCTTTTTCAGAGGGTAAAAAGTCCCAAAATAGTCAACTTTTCCTGATATTGGATACATATATTTTACCCCTTTGGTTATGTCAGGAGAAAGTTGATGGTCTATTGTTTTGCCTTACAGGTAGAAGAACAAACACAGTTCTCCCATCCTACATATTCAACAGTTCTCATTGCTGCATTTATCATGGTAATAAACAAAGATTCACAGTCCTCCGTCAGTTAGAGCTTAAATCCTACAA